AAAGGATCGGGTTGTGTTTCTTTTTGCAAAGATTGTAAAGGACGAAAAGGAGTAATTATTTATTAATAAGCTTCGAGAAATTTGTCGTTCAAAATATCTTAATAATTTGGAGTTACGAATTCTAATAAATAGTAGGTATTTAATGGAAATAGAAGCCGTTTAAATTTTAACGCTATCCTTGCTTTCCAATTTCTGTTCATTGTATAAACGGGCAATTTTGTACACAGTTTTTAGGCTAAATATATCATGGATGCCTCTTAAAATACTATAAAAGACTAACTACTGTTGCCAACCCGCCTACCAAGCGTGGCCACTACCGGTAAAACTCCCCTTATGATTTTGCTTTTGTTTTATGTAAGCCCTCTTTGTTCTAACTATAATACGAACGTTTAAAAAAATGTATTTAGTTATATTGATAAAAAAAAACGTATTTTGTTACGATTCATCAACAATTTACCGTAATACATAATTTAATTTACATTCAGATAAAACAAATTCAGAGATCTAAAATTATTTAAAATAGATAGTTTAGAAAAAGTGTTGCATTATAAATTAGCAAATAAATTCTGTTTATACTTTGGTCCTTAGAATAATGATTTCGCTGTAATATCAAATTAAAAAATCAGTTTTAGACATAACAGGGTTGCCCTAAAGAATCTCTTGAGAAAATCGTTTACTGCTAGTGAGTCCTTGAAATGAGATAGCGATGGTCAGATTGTTTCTCGTGACGATATTAGATGCTAACCGATACGACTAGGGGCAAAGGGATTGTTAGTATTGGGTATCTAACAGCCCCATTGCTAGTAATGTGCCCTGTTAGTCGACCTACACGCGGTTCCCCTTGGAAACTATTTCGATTAATTCTTTATAAATTTGTCACTATGGACGAACTGACCTATTTTATCTTCATCTATCATCTCTCACTGGTGCCCCAACAGTGTATAACGATAGCGCAGAGGGGTTTACCATTCCATTACCACCTATAAAAAAATCGATACGCTTCTATCGATAAATTCACTCTTCAATCTTCACTAATGTACTATTTGATTCGAAGTTCTGTAACACTGCTCCCAATCACTAGTAAGATCTGTGTGATCTTACTAGTGATTGGGAGATAACGAGGGATTCCATGAATGACTCATACATAATGACTCTGATCTTGAGCTTGTGTTGTGGTGTGACTCACGCCACGCGCATTTTTTTCATTCCTCTTATTATTATCATAATAATAGAACTGGACCGGTTAGGGATGAATAGACCGATTAGGGACAGGTGTCCGTTTATTTGTGTAATGAACTAGTAGGCTAGGCTTGCAACTATTTAATTAAATGTAGTTAAGTGATCTATTTGTCGTTATATAAATAGTTAAAGTAATTAATAAACTTAATAAACTAAAATTCTTATTAACTAATTAATACCCAAAATTATAAGATAGACATTTTAAGGTATGTGCAGACCAAAAGGTCTGCGGTCAATGTTCCCTTTTGTGTAAATACTACACGATCGATTAAAAAAAAAGTGTTATCAAAATCGATTCAAAATTGGCGACCTATTTGCGTAATATAGACACGAAAAATAACGATAAATTGAGAATTTCCTTCATTTGGATGTTTCTTGATCATTCGACGGTTTTTTTTATGGGTGATACTGAAATGGTAACCCCACCCGCGCTATCGGTATACACCGGCGGGGCACCAGTGAAGGATGATAGGTGAGGATGCAGCAGGTCAATTAGCCCATCATGACGCATTCAACACGAATTGCTCACGATGGTTTCCAAGGGGAACCACGTGGACGTCGACCTAATAGGGCATATTGCTAGCAATGGGGCCGTCGAACTACATTGCTAACAATCCCTTTCATCACTAATCATTTGACGGTTTAAATCAGTTTGCTCTCCTATGCTATGAAATGTATACAAAAGAATAATAGACTAGGCCTTTTCTAATGGAATGAAAACAGAATGGTAACCCCAATGTCGCTATCGGTATAAGCCGGCGGTGTACCAGTGCGTATTGATAGGTGAGAATGACAGGTCAGCTGATCTATGCCGTCGAAGATGTGGTGAGTGCGTAAGCGAACCCATGTCTCCGACATATAGCACCTCGAGGGTATATCGTCTGGTTTTTGATGGGTACACTCCCACCTTACGGGGGGATTCCTACAGTACCCATTCACCTCTCACAAGGTGTATGGGTGTGCATAAAGCATTTTCCAGACGTTAAAAAAAAGCTGATCTATCATGACTCAATAAATTTAGCAAGAAGTAACCAACATTTTTCCAGAGGGGATCGCGTGGAAGTTGTCTTGACGGGGTACATTGCTATCTATGGGACCAATAGTCCTCACTACCAAGTGACTAATAAATAAGGATAAGGACCAGGAAGTAAGGATTAATATCATAATAAGGAACAAATAGCCTTATTGCCAGTTTTGTAAGAAGTCCAATACTATATAGTATGTTAAGTTTATGGACCAGAGGGAGACTTTGTACAAAAGTCGATTGCTTGGGTACTTCTGTTCCATTCGTGTTTCAACCGTGGAGCACTTGTGTTTGCATGGCTGTGTTTCGGTTTGAAGGGTGGGATATGGCGTGAATTTACTGGGTACAGAGGAATACACGGTAGGAGGACACTTACATGGGTAAGAGGGTACACCTGAGTCCTCAGGAATGGCAACGCATGGGGGGTAACATGGGCGAAACAGTATACTCTGTTACGTCCATGGTACTGCTCATGTCTATAGGCGACGGTTACTACTTTCCATCAGGTGGACCGTCAGCTTGTTTGCCATTCTAAGTTGTATAAAAAAAATTACATTATTTTAAGATACATTTAGTACTTAACCTCTTTAGATTGGGGGGAAAGGGATTGTTAGTAATGGAGACTGAGAATCCCATTTCTAGCAATATACCCAACCAGGTCGACCTCCTCGCGGTTCTCCCTGGAAACTATCATGGTTAATTCCTGATGAATTCATCATGATGGGCTAACTGACCTATTTTCATTCTCATCTATCACCCTTCACTGGTGCTCCGCCAGCGTATCCCGTTTGCGCAGGCGGGATTACCATACCATTTTCACCCATAAAAAAAAACCTCTTTAGATTTATAAAAAATACCTAACCTTTAGGTACTCGTAAAAATACCTACTAGGTAGTCTCTCCAATATAACAAAATTGTAACTACACGGGACATATTTAAGAAAAATAACTATGAGGTGAGATAAATATGACCAATAGATGCCAAAACAACAATTCTTAGAAATTCCGTCTGTATAACTGTTTGTTTCGGCATTACACAAAAACTACTGCACCAAATTGGATGCGGTTTTGACAGTTGTGTTCCTAAAGGCATAATTTAAAATTGGTGTATATTTTATCTTGATACATCATCTAGAAGCGGTTTATTCAATTGGTTTTCCTACTTCTGATATTTACGTGTATGAAGTAGCGGGCAAAAATTTAGTTTTTTTTTTTATGCAACTTAGAATGGCAAACAAGCTGACGGCCCACCTGAAGGAAAGTGGTAACCGTCGCCTATAGACATGAGCATTACCATGGAGATAACAGAGTATACTGTTTCGTCTATGATACCTCCCATGCGTTGCTATTCCTGAGGACTCAGGTATTATTCCTCTGTACCCAGTAAATTCACGCAATTAAAATACAGTAGTTCGTAATAATTGTAGTAGGTATTAATTTTAAACGGTAGTGATAGTAGGAAATTAGGATTTAAATATCCTAAATTATAATCTTGGATATTGCCCATTTGGTACCAAATATTATCGCATATCTATTAAGGCATTTAACGTTATAAATTAAGAAATATCCTATAATCTAAATAACTTATAAACAAAAATATTTATAATATAAACAAAATAATAATTAAATTGTATAGGTATAACTTAGAAGTACCTACCATTATATGATGCACGATTTATTTTTTAACTACCTACCTCGGGACATAGCAACATTGTTAGTAATATAGATAGGTACCTATTTTTTTTTAATAGGTGATAATGCAATGGTAACCCCGCCTGCACCATCGGTATACGCTGGCGAGGCATCAGTGAGGGATGATAGGTGATGATGAAAGCAGGTCAGTTAGCTCACCGTGACGAATTCCACTAGAATTAATCACGATGGTTTCCAGGGAGAACCACGTGGAGATCGTCCTGATAGGGTGTATTCCTGGCAATGGGTCAGTTAGACCCCATTACTAACAATCCCTTTACCTATTTAGTTATTTATACCTATATATTTGTTGTCGTATTAGGTATATATACTAATAACCTACTGTTAAGTTAATAGCTTCAGTCTATGAATATCTAAGTACTAATTATTAGATACTTTATTTACAAATGTTTTCAACCGACTTAAAAAATAAGGGCTTTAAATTGATAGTACTTTTTGTGAACCATGAACCATGACCATATCATGTCGCACGACATCAGCAAAGGGAAACGTATTTGTACAATTCTTTATTTGAATCAACTTACTGATTAACATTGGAGGATCTCCTTGTTCTTAGGAAGATTTACCTTTTTATAGGGATAATATATTTTAAGGGACGATAGGTTGGTTCTTTTTAAGTATTGGCGATATAGTCGGTAGGTACTTAAACGAATATTATCAGATCTCCTAAGGGTATCTACTGACCGATATGTATAATACGTATCAATAGAAGATAAGTACAATATATAAAACATGATTTACGTAATCAATAAATAAAATAAATGTAATGATACTAAAATGTTACTGTCAATAGTTTTTAAAATTAATGAAATTATATAAAAATTATATAAAAAAACGGCCCCACTAGTAATAAAATTGTCTCGCTACTTCGAGCACCAACCCTCGCAATATTTCGCTATTTCGTCATGGGGCGGGTGACGGCGGGTGTGCTCGACTGGGGAAAACAGGCAACGAGATGACGAATGAAAAAAAAAATTAAATGGTGCTCATCCATTAAAAAGAATATAGGTTTCATTCATACATACCTTCAAAACGAAGAAAACTGCAATTTTTTCATGTATTGATCACATGTATACACTTAACATTAGCCAGAAATGTATTTATTAAGATTTTAGTACACACAACTTTAAGAAATAACTAGTAAATATTTTTAAAAGAGCAAGAAATTTTATTTCACTTAACTACATAGACAAATCACACAATTTTTCAGTTATTAATAACAATTTATTAAATTTTATTGGAATACACAACAAAACACCAATACCCATCAGGCGTATTGTCATACTGAGGGCGAATGAATGGATTGAATGAAAACGGAATGGTTTCTTAGCTTGACGTCATTGGTTTGAAAGCACAGCCCGGGTAGAGCAGTGGAATCGATATTGCGCCATCTATTTAAAATTACTCATTTTTTGAAGAAGCTCCATCTATCGGAACTTGTAAAAAGACAGTAACTTGATAAATTTAGGTAAATAGGTAATGAGCAAGTATTTTATTTACAAGCAAGCAATTGACTTTACAATTATAGAAATATTCATAAAATCTAGGTGGCGGCAGAGCAGTCCTTTTTCATATTACTGCTTCTGAATTCAGAGAAGGTTATTAATTAATTTACAAATAATATGAAAAAAGCATTATATAATTTTTTTTTTATTTAAACAATCTTATCATAATAATACTAATACAAAATAATACTAGATTAATAAAGTTATTGACATTTCATATGACATCCGATATGACAGACAGTACGAAAATTTTCTATTTGATATGTGGCTAATTTCATTGTAGATTTTATTCTGCAAGTGGACTACGCTGTCATTTTCGTATACGTCAAAAATGGAGGAAGAACGTCTTTTTGATGAGAGAGTTTCAATAAGAGAATCTGCAAGACCTCTAAAAAAATACGGAAGTACATGCAACCACATGAAGAGGAATGATGAATACATTAAGCATATGCTGTCAAAAAGCGATACGCTTCAAGGAATCGCTTTGAAATATGGAGTAACTGTAAGTGTATGAATACAAAAAAATATGTGTTATTAAAATTCGCATTTTTTTCTGATTTACTTTAGTAGTAGTGTGTGACTTGCTTGTACATTGTTTACAGATGGAGAAAATAAGGAGGGCAAATCGTTTGTTCGCAACGGACAGCTTGTTTTTAAGGGAATACTTATTGATTCCTGTGACTATGGATTCACCTTTTTATGAGAATGGGGAGCGTGTGACGGAACCGCCCCCGCCGAGTCACCGCGCTTCCATTGGGGGAATGCCCACTAGAGACTTCTCCCCTGGTAGCCCTGACGAGAAGAAGAGTTTCGACGACTTTCTAAACAGATTGGATTCCTCCCTTGCTGACATAAAGAAACATGTCGAGAAAACGAAGGAAAATAGCGAGTAAGTATTCCTAAATGTTTATTTTTACAATTATTGTTAATGCTGATGATGATTTATTTTATGCACTTAAAATAGCAAACAAGCTGAATGCCCCAACTGATTGAAAGTAGTAACTATAATTATATGTAATAATATAAGCATATATGATAATAATCATATAATAATTAATATATAGGATACTCATATGTAATGTTTTGAAAAAGGATATCGAGCACTTTTTAACATACTTATGTTTTTAGATTTTTAAATATTGTCTATTTTTGAAATTAAAATTCTAATTTGATAATACTGTGACGTCATTGTTCTAAGAACTAAATAAACAAAATTTTTAGCAGAATTGTATCAACACTTACAATTAATTCTTCATTGTTTGTACATGAAGAAATCATTGTAATTTTGGGATAAATTTAAGAGTCGTATTTCATCATGGTTACCTTATAATTTTTAAGTTATATCACATTTGTTTATAACTTTACACAGTATAAAAACAAGATATTTTGTATGATTATTTATTTGTGGGCTCCTGTTATTTCGATACAGTTATAAGCATAAAGAGAAATGTCTAATTTTTCAACTGATTAAAAAAAAAAAGAGGTTCTTAATTTGGTTGCAAATTTTTTTTTAGTTTGTTACTTCATAACTCCATTATTTCTAAACCAATTTAAAAAAAAATATCTGAGAAGATATACTTACAGTTGGTCACATAGAAATTGTATCAGCATCGATTCAGTAGTTTAGATTCAATAGTGTACCTATTTTAACTTATACACTAATTTGTCTTGTTCAAATTGGACATTTAGTGTAAAAGAACGAGATTAAACAATTTAATAGCTAAAATATGTTTATGATAGGTTTGACATTTTTATGAATAAGTGTGTCAAAGTTTAAATGCTTAGGCTACTCACTAATCCCTATTCTTACTTGTAAATAATTTGCCCTTATTAACTACTTATGCTTTCAATATTATTCCAGTGGTCAAAAGATATTTGCATTTTTTATAGGACTCATATATTTTATTCTCATATTTCTCAAATATTGTGCTTAAATTACTAATTAACACACCTTGTACACTACTATAGGCATTCAGTCACCCATATCTAAATACTATAATGCAAATTATAAAATAATAAACTTTAAATGCATTCTATTGTATCTTGAACTAGATACTAAGTCATCCATCATACCAAAATTCAACAAAATACATCTAGTAGTTTTTAAATGATGTTTTTTACTTATGTTTGATAAGGTACTATTTAGTTTTATTATACATAAAGATTAAATGTGTGGTTTTAATTTTAATAGTAGTGCTATTAAGTGTTATTACTATCTTATAAATCACAACTTTATTCTTCTTATTTTTTTTTCGTTTATCTTTTTTATTACTATAAAGTTATAAATTATTTTAAAATATAATATTAACTTTAAAATTATTTTTAATTGATATTTGCGAATCAATAGTTTTCACACAAAATCAATACTTTTCACACTTAACCATGCGTAGATAAATGTTCAGACATCAAGTAAACATGTGTAGGAGCCAGAATTACTCTTCTGATAAGTTTGTTTGTACATTTGATAACAACTTTATTTGATATTCAGAGGATATATAGGTATTTACATAAATGTTTGTGACATGGAATACTTCAATCCTATATAACTCAGCAAGTATTATTTTTGTTGTTAGTACATATACTACATCTTAGTTTTTGTTTTACTTTAACTTGTTTTTAAATGTAGACATATATTTATGCCAGATACATACATTATTTTTAGCATATACATAGGTGTGTGCTAAAAGTGATGTTTGCAAATTGTCATTAGAACAATCTTGAAATGGTCCTTCTCTGGAAATCATCATGCTTAATTTCTGGTGAATTTGTCACTATGGATCAACTAGCCTAACATCATCATCATCTGTTTTCTCTCACTGGTATCTTATCATTCTCTTATTACCATACCACAGCATATATCAACAACATGGGTGGGACTCACCATTTTATTATTAACCAACTTCAAAAAGAAGTAGGTTTTCAATTTAGTTGTATTCTTTTGTTTATTATAATTACATCAGTTACAAACCTATCTGGAAATTCTTTGTTTAAAAAGATATAGTTATAGATCGGTACCATAGAAATTTTATCCAAATTGGTTCAGTAAAGTTTTGAAATCAAAGTTTTGTTTCAATCAAAATGGGTTTTTTTGTGTAACATAATGTTAAATTATTATCTTTTAATATTCTCTATTTCACTGTGGCAGGTGAAGCAGTGTGTAATGGCTGTTTCATTAAGGCCATCAAATATTTATTTTATTGACTAATAAAAGGTGGTACAAAAAGTGGGCTTAATGCTATAGGCATTCTATACCTGTCAACCTGTACTATAAATGTACTTGGTAATGGTTTAGTTATACCATATTTTTATTTATCGAAGTTGATACTTTTTGTACTTATAAATGTAAATTGTAATTAATTATTTACATTTTTCAACATTTAAACATATTGATTGATCGAGTCTCCGTTTGTTATTTATTGCTATTATACTATGCTAATTTGTTTTATAGATGAATATGTATGTATGGAGACTAATAAATCACCTGTTGACTAATAATGTATTGATCAATCGGCGAACTTGTTAAGGTGCCTAAAGATTATCATTATTGTCCTTCAATGTACTCTGATTTGATGATCAGTAAAGTCTGTCATCTGCCTGCGAATTTATTTTATTTTATCAATTGCTACTGTCGCCTGTTAACGATATATAAAATGTATTCAAGGTTGTAGTAGACATCTAAGTTATATCAATTGTTTTTCTGTCGATCGACAAAGAATACTATATAAATGTCTATTGTACGGAGTCATGGGTTATATCGATACCGCTTCGATATCTATATTTTTGGTTTCTTTAGATATTGATGGCTGAAAAAAAGGTCTTAACTCATTTCGATATTTCCCATACTGGTCGGATATCTATATTTCGATTGGGTGCTTCATTTCGATATTATATATTGGATAACCATTATATAATGTTTTAACCATTATATTATGTTTGTTTTGTTGTATATTATGGGATCAATATATAGTAATTATAACTACAATATATAGATATTGTTGTATACTCGTATTACCCACTCTCAATTAGTACTTAGTACTTTTTAAAATAGGCGATAATGGAATAGGATTCTCGCTTGAGCTATCGGTATACGCAGGCCAAGTATCATCATTGAGAGTTGATACAATAGGTGAGGACGAAAGCAGGTCAGTTAGCCCATCGTGACGAATTCCTCAATAATTAACCAAGATAATTTCTAGGAGGAACCGCGTGTAGGTTGAACCCATTACTAACAATACCTTTCTCTTACTTTGGTTAATACGTTAATTACACGTTTACATATATATCGATGTTAAAATATCAAGCAAATCTGTTGGCACTTTTGATTTTCTCTTGTAAAATAGTGAGACATATTGTTTTAAATAGGCATTTTTATTTTGTTGGAAAAAATGTATGAAAATGGAATGGTAACCTCGCCTGCGCTATTGGCATAAGTTGGTGACGCACCGGCATGGATTTAGTCAGATTAGTTCACCCGTAATGTTAATTTCAGTAGGAATTAACCACGATGAATTCCAGGGTGAAACGCTTTGAGGTCGACTCGACGGGGTGTGTTCCTAGCAATCGAGCTGTTTTTTTGTAATGGATGATAATGAAATACCTAATAACCTCGTATGCGTTGACGATATACGCTGGCGGAGCCTCAGTATGGGATGATAGGTGACAATGAAAAGGCAGATCAGTTAGCCCATCGTAATGAATACACCTAGAATTCAGCACGACTTATTTCAGGGGTTACCATGTAGATGTCGATCTGACTGGGGTGTATTGTTAGCAATACGATGGTATTCTAAATTAGTAACAATTCCTCCCCCCCGCAATGGCACTGTTAGAACCCATTACTAACACCCCCTTATTCTTTTGTTTCAGTATGTTTTTGTAGTATTATGTAGTTACTGTTTGTTTCTGTTTGGTGTTCTAAATAATAGGTAAACTTATTTTATAATAGTTTGATCAGGGTATTGACGGCTCTATTCTACAACATTTGAATGGAGTCCGTTATGACGTTTGAATTGTAACAAAGGATTTCACTTCGTTGGCCCATACCCACGTTATATACTTGTATAATTAATGTGTAGTAGTATGTAGTTACTGTGCTCGGGAGAGTCCGCCTCCACATATAACTGGGTCTGTGATTCGAGTAGTTTGTATAAGCTTTATTGTGCGCTAGCTTTTATCTCCGACTTGGTCTGTGTTATCGGGATGTGTTCACTGATTGGCATAAAATATAGTCTATATTCTTCTCCATCTCTTATATTATGTATTAACTTACTTTTTTATTTTTGTTACCACTTAGCGCCTTAAACCTTTAAGGCTTTAGGGCCTTAAGCCATTAAGGTGCTAAGTGGTAACAAAAATTAAAAACAGACAATGAATTGAGAATCATTATTATAATAGCTGTTAACTGTCCATTGCTGAATATAGTCCTCACCCATAAGGGGAGGCTTTGCCAGTAGTTGTCACGCTTTGCAGGCGGGTTGGTAACCACAGTTAGGGTTTTGGTGATGAGAAATGAGAATAATAATACAGATTTGTTTTCACTATCTTATCATTTTTGTTTGATAACATTTCTTTCAATGACCTTCACTCTTGAGCCTATTGAAAGTAATACGCAGTTCATTTATTTCAAATCTATAATTTATTTGCATACATCAAAATGAGTCGAGTAATTGAGACCATTTAAAAAAATTAAAATAAGAAACAAAATCTACAAAATGTTAGACCAACAAAGTATCAATATTTTTGAAAAATATGAATATACAAAATCAGATCACAATTAACAAATATATTGAGTACATAATACACATGCACACAAAAATATATATGCTTATTTTTTTTTCAGTCTTTTTAATTTTTTTTATTGTTGAGAGGCAAATGAGCAGACAGTAATAG